AAGATTTCTATTGATATTTTAAGATAATTATGAGGTTTATATGTTTTAATATCTTGTTTTTAAAAAATATACAAGAATTAAATTTATATCAATATAATAAATAACAAGTTACATTATTACCTGTGCTTGAAATTTTAATTGATGTTCAATTTGACTGTTTTCCTCTTTAAGCTTTTGTATTTCTGCTTCATATGCCTTTTTCTCTTTTAACCATCCATTTTCTACACATTTATCTCCATCCAATTTCTTAACATCGTTAGATGTCACTTCTTTTTCATGAATTTTTACTGCTGCAACTTGGGAGACAGTCACATTTACATTCAAATTACTTTTTTGTAACTTTCTATTTTTCTTTTCATATGGAATGATTGGATTAACTGCAGCTTTATAAGGTTCATAAGGAATAAATTTTGGTTCCTTTGACTTTAATGAATTTAAAATATGTTTTTCATCTTTTACATTAGTAACTTGTTTTGGTACTAAATTTACTATTGGACCATTTGGAGTAACTGGAGGAATTGAACTTAACAGTTTTAAATTCATAGGATGATAGATTAGAGTTTCACCAAGCCGACATTTTGTCTGTTTAATTTCAGTTTTTTCAGCTGTCACATTTTCCATTCCGTCACCTTGTGTGCGTTTAGCACGTCCCATGATTTGTACATCTAAAACATTAATTAAGTCAAATTATTACCAAATAACATGGGAAGCAAAAGTCTCAATGCTAACAACATAGTGTCAATACATATATTTAATCACACTGAGCATTATGGCCACTTCACTATAAATATTAAGTAATAACATGTAAGGGCAAACTATAGAGATATTAGAGCATCTCTGGAATAATAATCTTACTATAAAGTTACAAAACTATTCTATCATTCTTATCATGATATTAAAAGACACATATGATCATATGTACTTCATTTTAAATACAAAAAAAGCAAGAATATATCATAAACATACAAAAATATAACAATCATAAAAAAAAAATTTGAACTTTATCTTTCATAGGATTTGAAATAGTACCCATTTTCAATTTAATTTGGTTCTTTATAATAAAAATCTTAATAGTATTCCGTGTAAGAATAATATAATAAATTTCAAACTAGTTTTTATCGATCATTATTAACACTACTTAACGCACACTATTTAGAGAAAGTATATGTCAACTCGGCACGTCATAGTAAACTACGTGTATGCAAGTACAGAAGAGGGGAGAAAATTCATGTGAAATCATCAACAAAGATGAAACAAACACATAAATTTATCACGTAATGTTTATTTTTACACGTTTACAAATATTATACAATTATACAATATTTTTGAATCTACTTTTAAAGAATTCCTTTTGGTTAAAATCTTGGATGTTATTTCAGGTGGTCGTTGACAGATGTCATAATAATAATAACAAAACAAAGAAAAAATTAAGATAATTACATAAAATAGTATTTTTTACGTAAATGATATTGTGACGTCATGCCTCGCAACTCATGCGAACCAGTCATGAGATTCACAATATACGATTGTGATGCAAATCGACCCTCCTTTATTTAACGCACTTACTCATATACATGTTCCTAGCGAATTAAGTGTACCTATAATTATAATTTTACTTTAGACCTTTAGCGGAATGTCAAATTGTAATTTGTATATGAAACGATTGACGTAATGCATACGCGCGTAACTTCCCCGAAGCACCTGGAAAGCTCAACCTGTATTCTTTTGTTTCACTAATCGTTTTTAAATTCTTTTTCCATTATATGTATACCAGCAGTCACGTATGGTTTTCCGCACTACACATGGTCACTCGAATTCAGAGTTTTGCTCTTTAGTTAAAGTCTTAGTTTTAGTCGTTCTATATTTTGATTGTATTTCTTTAGTTTTGTTTTTATTGTTAAATATATATTTAAATCTTTATTCCAGTGTGAAAGTTCTAATCGTTAAATCCACATTCGCAATTCAACGCACAGTACATTCATTTTTTTTTGCGGGAAGACCACGGGTCTTACACGTAACAATAAATATACATATATCAAATGAAATAGTGTAACATTTTATCAATAAAAATAAAAGTGAAAAAGAAATCTTATTATACATTCGTGAAACTTGAACCTAAATTTTCTTCCCCTTCCAAAGCGAACACTCTATGCACTGATCCACTATGGGTCGTTGAATATCACCTAACCTTCCACGGTTTTATACACCAAATTTCAATTGCTTATAAAAATGCGCTTTGGAATGAAATATTCTACAGAATATCATTTTTCGGGATTTAAATTCATTCCTCCGGCTAACACCGTTTAATGGATAAATGTGTTGACATTATTTTTATTAAATGTGTAGGATGGTGCGTAGGGAAATACGGATAAGGAAATAGGATAAGGAAATACAAGTTTTAACTTTCGGGCGATCGGCTTTAAGCAGCCAAACTTTCCCATTCCGAATCTAACAAATCGTATAACAATTACAGTCAAGATTCGACAAGAGTTCGAAATTCGGGACCGCGGTGGAACAGTTATGGGATAGGTACTACTACATTCTTCAAACTGTTTGTACTTTACCGACACCGACGGACGCAGAAAGAGACAGCGGACAAAGAAGAGAGAGGTATGAAAGTTGAGTCAATCGTAAAAAATTAAATGCCTACGCCGTGCGACGCGCCTAGGCAACGACCGCTGGACCCGAGCCGCAGGGAGCCCTAGGGTGCAGGGGGGGGCCTAGGGGGCGTAGGCTGCACCCCCACCCCACGGCTTGCACGGTCCCAACAGCCGAGGAAACATATTGTAAAGACGGGAAAAAGGGCAGCGACCCACACAATATTGCGACTCGTTACCGACAAGCGAAGAACCCCGTTATTTTAAAACGTCTATCTCAAGCGCCGGCATTTTCATTAGTCTTACAAATTGTAATTTATTAATATGTTAAAAATTTTACTAATAAAAGGTTCGTATGTGTTCAAGGTTCTGGGGTATCAATTTGCTGTCTCTCACAGTCCTCTTACCAGAAGACCATCGTCTTCCCCACTCCGTGGCCAGACCCTTCGCGAACAATATTCTTATTTTTAAAGCAATGCAACGTCGGGCTGCTTGCCATCCTTAAATTTTCTCCTGCCTTCTTCTAAACAATCAACCCTATGACTCCCGGTAGCTACGTGATTTCGAGTCACTGCAATCGTTTGTCATCTGGCTTGTCTTCTGTCGTAAACATTCTCTCTGACCACACGCAGGTTAAGTACCTGCCATAAATCGTTCGAAAGTAAAACAGCAGCAAGTCATTTGCCTTCGACAACCCTTGAAAATGCGTTGGCGCTAACAAATAAATATAGATTTTCATTAAATTCAGCCGCTTGGATTTTCAGCATAAATATTAGTCCTGCTATTTTCGAGAACTTTAAAATCTGTGCATATTTATTTATTAGCGACAACAAATTCTTAAGGGTCATCGAAGGTAATTTGTCCAAATGACAAGTGGAATTTATATCTTAATTTATGGTCGCTAAACCGATATTCTATCTTATACGTACGCTATTCTAGATTTTTCCTAATTCAACTGACCTGCGTTTCAGACATTTGCAATAGCTAGTATTAAATATTGCTTGGACAATTCATTCAAATGTCCATACAATTCTACAAATTCTGGAGTGTGCCATGCTGTTTCTTGCAGTTTTCTTACCAGAAAATCATCGTGATCATCTATTTTAGGAACGATATTTTTCTTTGGGAAGACAACGCAACCATGGGTTGCTTGATATCCTTAAACTCTCTTATTCTAAAGAATCAAATTCTCGATAATCGAGAACTATGTGACTTTCAGTCGCTAGCCATCAATGAATATGTATATACCTATATCTGCACATCGTCACTTGTACTTTCACTGGCAACATGCGGTTTAAGTACCTATCATAAATTACTCCATTGCTGAATAGCACCAAGCTAACTGACCTTGACCACCCTCAAAAATGTGCTGTCGCTAACACGCACATTCTTCTAGCATTCTGGAGAGGGTTAATTGTTCGTGGACGTTGCCAAAAAGGGAAAATTTACTAAATCCTTATTGGTTAACACACATGTAATAGCATAAAGTTTAAAGTTTATTTTGATTATTTGTTGAAATTACTTTTCCGATTTATACCGTTGACAAAGTGATTTGTAATTTTAATTAAATAAATCACTTACCATACTACTTACCATACAATATATTTCAATATAAGAATGCACAAAAATAGAATATCTCCCTCATAGTGTTTCGTTTCTCTGACCTTGAGTAGGAGAGAAAAGAGAAACATGGCGTGCGAGTGGGTCAACTAAGTTAATTAATTAATCAATTATTTAAGTTATTTAATTTTTATTTACCTTTCGCGTAATTTTACTAAATTAAAAAAATATTCCATTAATAATTATTGTACCATAAAAAAAATTACGTGCACTATTAAATCTACGAATCGAAAGTCGAGTAAAAGGCTGATTTTCATAAATATTTTCATATATCTAATATCGATACTATTATTATTATAAATCTCCGGCAAATAATTTCAAATCTTTATAGTATATAACGCCCTTAACGATGAATGTAACACAAGAGAAATTATTCAAAAAAATTAAATGAATTAAAATTGAATTTAGTGTAACGTTTTTAACAATTAAAATCATAACCCTGCAATATGAAGCGTCAACTAAGTTTAATATAATTTGTAACCTCCTTTACAATTTATAAATTTTTAACTGTGAAGACATATTATAATAATATTTTTCCATTGAAAGCGGTAAGCTCATAATTATTATTGAAACTGTTTATATCGATGTAATCAATTTATATCTTCCGAGTCAA